ACCAAAATCAATTCATTGATCCCTATTCATTCTGATCCATGCAAAAACAAAAATAATTGTTATCACCAATTAAAATACACTCTCCCAAATTTAATCAGTGACAATACCTTTTAGTTTTTGCTGAATCCCATCATAAAATTCTTCAAGACACTGGAAATGTGTGTAAAGTACATGAAAAAGGCATGGAATATGTATGTAATGTTTGGAAAATGACCTGAAAATTACATTTTGTATATTTCCTGCATTTTCCTGTACATTTTCTGAAAATTTTTATAGTAATAGGGTACATGGGATCATCATAAGGTTGCTTGCCAAAACCTCTTAGTGACTGTCAAAACTCTGTTGATTGATTTCTGGAGGAGATTCTCCCACAACCTTAGATGGTAATTGTCCAATTACCATAAATATGTATACATAATTATCATAATAAATACCACTTTCCCTCTTTAAAAATGTAATTGTGAAATTAATGAAATTAATTACAGGCAATGAAATTAATTATGAATAACAACCAATACAGAATAAATGCTGTTTGAAATCAAGGAAACAGAAAATTTTCCATACACCTGTTGTTAATAAACCTCAGAGCTCTATGCCACTCTGATAACCAAATGGACAATTAAACCCTATTGTTTAATTTCCGACTACAAAAGTGTTTTTATAAGAGAAACAAAGGACATATTTTTTTATTATTATCTGTAAAATTATTTTATCATACGTAATTAATTATGCAATTACATATTATGCATATTAATATATTACCAACTGTTTACAACCATGTAACATGATTTTCAATTGTTTTAAAGTAGGGTGCTATCTTTAGGGGATGTCATCTTTCAAGACTTTACAGTACATCATTACTGCTAATTTATTTATTTAAAATTCTCCTTATTGTTGATCATGTCAAATTATATCCAATAGAAATTGCTTGAGTTAAAGAAGAATCTAATAACAATCTTTGAAATAATAATCTTTGAATTAACAATAAATAACAACTATTGATAATAAGATAAACACATTTTACATTATTACGACTTTTTGCATAGTTAAAGAGGAAAAGCCATCATTAACTGTTCTATGATCCTTTCTAATGGTTAGTGATCTTAATCTAGTAAGTAAGTAATGGCGCACATAAAGGTCAATCACGTGACCGGGATGTAATATAATTGGCACAAATCACAAGATCAGCGTGTGACGCAAATAAAAACAAAAAACATTTCATGTTATAACAAAAAAAATTCCTTGCCAAATTTTACTATATATGCTCTTTTGGTTATCGCAAACAATCAAAGCTTTAATTTACTTTTAGATTTTTCCATTATTAAACAGAGTCACGTGATTGCCCTTTGTTTCCTTTTTATGTGCGCCATTACTGATCTACCCATCTTAATCATTAGTTAGGAACACCTTTAATTTTACTATATATGTTGCTTGTAGAGATGCCTCAAGTGGTATAATTGTAAATGTTTCTTGTATATATTTCTTTTTCTTTTTTATTTTTATTTTGGAAATCCCATGTGTTGGGCATTTCAGGAATTTGCACAAGGGTTTCTTAAGACTGTGTGTTGGCAGGAGTATACATGTGATGGTAATTGTTTTGTCAAAAACGTAATACGTAATTACGAAATTCTTTACGAAATCAATTACGCGTGACGAAATTAAATGTCGCCTATTATTTATCCCGTTATACTAGTATAATGACATAATTTGTCAACTTTTTTTTAGAATTATCCCTTAAACGGTTAATCGACTATTGATAGCCGATAAAAATTTTCTGATATAAAAAATTTTTTCTAATGAATCACCTTCTATATAATACGAAAATGATCTTTGAGATTCACCGATTAATCTATAACGTGGTTTTTGTAAAATCTTCTTTAGAAGTTCGTCGATTGACTGTTTTGCTTTGCCGATCGTTAAATTGACCAATAAGAATGATCAGAGCTTTAATTTGTGTTACCGTTAAAGAATACTTTAACCGTTTAAGAGATAGAATTTATTCTGTTATAACGGGAGTGACTTGTATTATGGTATTTCCAATAATTAATTCGTTGTTATTCGTAATTAGTTTCGTCACCCATAATTAATTTCGTATCCTGTAATACAGTAATTAATTTCGTAATTACGGTTTTAAAGAGGAAATGGTAATTAATTACGATAATTACGTATTACGTGCTTACGGTAATTAGGCAATTACCATCCCATATAGTGTTAACAACGGTTTGCATAGAAATTTTCACAATAGTAATTAATTCGTCGTCCGTAATTAATTACGTAATTACGTTTTTAAAGAGTGAAAGTGGTAATTAATTACGTTAATTACGAATTACGTATTTACGGTAATCAGCTAATTACCATCTCATGTATAAGTGGGTAGCAGTAATTTTTATTAACAATAAATTTATTAATATGGAAACAAAATATACATTAATAATTTTATCACAAAAAAAAATTTTTTTTTAATAATAGTATATGGTTAGATAATTTTCAACAAAATCAAAAAAAAAATTAGCAAAATGGCAAAAACACATAATTGTAAAAAAAAAATTCACAAGAAAACCACTTGGAAAACACAATCTAGTTAGTCATATAATAGACAGTATATTGTATCTGTGGTAATAATATTAGATTAGATAAAGAATGGGATCCTGATTTATTAATATGACATGCAAAAAATAATATATGTCAAGAAGCAAGGAACCTATTTCCAGTAAATAATACAAATAACACATTACATTTAGAAATTTGTAATTTGTATAGGTTTTTAACCAAGGAAAACTCGATCAAAATTTAGTTCAATCTATCAATTGATGATGTGAATAAAAATTTATAATTTTTAATAATGAATATAGAAAAAATTGTATAACTGGTATAAATTAATAAAATTTGTATATACTGTGATCCAAAATGGGGTAAATTTTGAAATCTTAATTAGAGTATTAATGAAATTCACTAATTGAGCAGGATGATAGTTCATTTATAATTACCTGGTGTCCTATAGTAGTAGTAAAAGGAATTCAAGCACCTGAAAATAATCAAGAATTAATACGATTAAAAAAGAAAGCTGAAGAATTAGAAGAGATAAATGTCCAATAACAACTGAATATAAATGATTGATAATTGATAGCTATTAGAAAAAGAAAATTTAGAAGTAGAAAAGCATGAATTAACTAAGGAAAAAGAAAAAAGAATATAAAAAAACCGTTGCTGAAGTGGTTTCAAAATATTATGAGCCAATTGATGAAGAAATAGAAACAGATAAAGATAATTAAAAGAAGAATTTATTAAGCAATTAAGCAATTAGATGCTGAAACTCGCCTTGAAGCCTTAGAAGTAGCCCAAGAATGACAGTTAGCTGAAAAATTAGAGCAATTAGAAACAGTTAAGAACCAGGAGTCAAGTCAAGAAATTTAGCAACTAAAGCAAGAACTATATTTAGCCAACAATCTTTATCAGAGTTACCAAAGAAAAGCAAATAATTGAAGTAAACCCAAGGAAGCCAAACCAACACATGCTGATTCTCTTTTGCCAAAATTTTTTTTAGCTTCTTTAATCTTTAAAAGATAATAAAAACATGTTAAATTAGGTAATAAATTATTTTCCTTCCAATTTCCTTTTCTTTCTAAATTCTTCATAGTTTTGTGACAAAGTTCTTTTGCTGGTTATGATTTTTCTTTCTTGGTAAATTTCATAGGTAATCCTTTCATTCCTTAGATAAGCTTCAAGTATCTGAGTATTTTATTTTTTTGAAAACATAAGGAGTAAATTTTCACCTTGTTCTTTCTTCAAAATACTTCTAATTGTGCTAGGTTCCATGGTAGATGAGTTTCATATCATAGACAAAAGTACTTGATCACATGTTTGCAATAATTAATAAAACATTTACATAACAATATCATAATTATCATGCAGCCTATATTCGAAATTTCACGTTGCTAGCTTTCATGTATCAAAATTAATAAAAAAAACTAAAATTCAAATAAAAATTAAACATTTCACTATATTTTCACGTTTTTTAAAAATTTGCATAATAAAAAATTTAAATTCATATAAATGAAGGCTATTGTTTTATATCATGTCCAGAAAATTAATGATTAAAAAAAATAGCAATAACACAAGCTACTGAATTTTTTGATGATCATAAAAAAAAAACCTTGAAATTTTTATTAAATGAAATATAGGTTGCATAATGATATTGTTATGTAGATGTTTTACTAATTAGTGTAAAATGCGATCAAATACTTTTGTTTGGTAATGTAGAAGTAATTCTATACACCACTCAAAAAAAAAAAGTTAATAATAATAATAATAATAAATATTACTAAATTTTGATCTTGGTAATACAAATGTTCACTTTGTTTAGTTTGCATGCGTCTAAAATCCAACTTTTTGAGCCGCGCGGACTTAGATATTAATATAAATTAAGCTCATTCAATTTATCATAAAAGCCGTGGATCTTCTTTTATAACTTGAAACGGTCAAATAATAAATAATACCACAAATATTAAAATTAATATATTAATATTATTATTGAACGTTCCACACGCATCATTTAAATTTAGAAACAATTAATTAATCAATTAAGACAAACACACATATATATAAAGATAAGCAGTTTTTGTTTGCCTGAATTATATTATTTTTACATTCTTTTTTTTAATTTTTTTTTTTTTTCAAAACGCAAAACAAATTTCACTCTACACTCATTCCTCCTTCTCCTCCTCTCTCTCTCCACATATAGATAGATATTAATATTTTGATAAATATTAATTATCCCATTACTCCCATATTTATTATATATAAACACGTTTATTACAAAAAAAAAACTTAATAAAATGCCATCAATATTATCAAAACAAAGTACAATTGTAATTTTAATAATTGCTTTAGCATTATGTGTCGTCACAACAACTTTAGCAGAACCTTATAATTTCAAATATTTGAAAAAAAGAAGTAGTCGTCTCTTATATAAAAGACAAGCAGTCGATCCAAAAATTCCTGTTAGGTATGTATAGATTAATTAATTGTTTGATATTTTTGGTTAGTGTAATTAAATAATTGGTTAATTAATCAATTTTTATGATTAATAGTACAACGATATCTAAGGCTAAAGATGATCCAAAAACTACTTCTTCTGCTGCTGCTGCTGCTCCTTCTGATACTCCTGCTTCACCAACAGACTCTCCAAAAGCAACTCCACCAAAAGACAATCCACCAAAAGACAGTCCACCACCAAAAGAAAATCCACCAAAAGAAACTCCTACTTCTACTTCTACTTCTGCTACTGCTCCTGCTCCTGCTCCTGCTCAACCTACTTCTACACCTCAACCTCAACCTCAACCCCAACCTCAACCCCAACCTCAACCTCAACCTCAACCCCAACCCCAAGCTAGTCAACCACAACCACAACCTAGTCAACCTAAATCGACAACCCCTGCTGCTAATAGTCCAGCTGTAACCTCATCAACCACAACTCCAATTGCAAATTCACCAGCAGCAGTTAATACTAAAACAGTTCTTACTTCTGTCACCTTAACATCTGTTGTGCCTGCCAAAACAAGCAAAAAAACCTCAACTTTAGATGATGGAAGTACAACAGTTGTCGAGACTGTCGAGCCTGCAAAAACTGTCGTAGTTGTCACGGCAGTTGATCCTAGTAATCAAAGTACAAATACCGATCAACCTAGCGAGGATGTAGGTTATGATAGTGGAAATAATTTAACAGTTCAATTTTATTTATTATCATTAACAACCTTATTCGTCACTTTTAGTTCCACAATGATTTTTATATAATTGATTTATTATACATAATTAATTAACTAATTTTATTTATAATGAAAAGAAAAACTATATATATGTATTTTTGTTTGGCGGAATAATTAGATTATTGTTTATTATTATATTTAAATTTGGAGATAAATAAATTTATGTGATGATGCACAATTTATTTATTCATTTTTTCTAAAAAAAGGAAAAAAATGATTTGTGAGCAAAATTAATGGATGAAATCAATGAAGCAAAATATGAAAGTAATTAAAACTATTCCCAACCGTCCAAAGTTGAGTCACAACGAGCAAAGGCAAAGGAAAGGATCATTACAAAGAATTAGTTGAAGAACAAGGCAAAACCGAAGTACCTCGCTCATGGGCGCAAGTAGTAGGTATTGCTTCTGAGGACCTGCTTTTTCGATATTAATACTTTACTACTACAAAAAAATTTCCATAACATAAAACCATTTATTTAAGAGATAATATAAGCCCACAATCATTTAATGTTAGCAAGCCATCATCACACAATGTGTTTTTCCACGTTCTTGAAAATTCTGTTGTTTTTTTTTTGTTTGTTTAACACTGAATATTGAAGCGTACTACCAACAACCTGCGATAATACGAAACTATCACCAAGATAAAGATCAATCCCAAATGCTATAATACCTTAACCGTCACCAAGACCACGACAAAAACTATATCTGTATCACAACCACAGCCATCAAAACTGCTACCACCGTCACGACAACTGCATCTAGAGTTGATGGTGAACCTTGTAATTTTGAGGATTTGGACTTTCTGGGATGTTGCAATCAAGGGTGTATTCAACTTCAAGTCAACCAACTCCTATGTGTACTAATTTTAATAATACATAGAATTTATAATTATAAAATTAGACCTTTTACTAATAATTAACCATTTACTAAACTTGTCTGTTATTATTAATCAATTTATTTTATTCGAACTATCACATTTCTTATTTTAAAACATAAACTTATTACGTTCTAGCTTCTTTTTTTTTTTTCTTTTTTTGATCTGATCAGAAATTTGTGAGATATTTGTCTACCCAAATTTTGTATTTTTTGATCAAATGAATTATTATCAATTTGTTGTAAAGACTCCAATGGCTCATTCGATTTGTTATCATCATAATTAATATCTTTCTTCTTCTTCACTACCAAGTTGATGATTACATTTTAATAATATTATAATGCTAAGCAACAAATACAATTATCCCCTAATGATTTCAAACAAGAATTATGGTATACATATCTAGGTACTTTAAAGGTTATCCCACTCTTCATACAAACCTGAATCTCTAGTCAAAGGAAAAAGTTAAAAAACAAAATCTATTAATTCGTGTTCTACCAATCAACGATAGAAATTTATTAATAAAAACACGGGTGATAGAATGTCCATGATTATACTTTTGCATAGTTCTTAATTTTGGGCATGATCACATATTTGTAATGATTTAAAACATCTCAGGAATAAAAGTGAATTATACCCTTTTTGCAATAATACTTTAAATCACGGAAAAAGTCTATTACTGATAATCATATATATAGAGGCAGCAAAACATAAAGATACTGTACAAAGATCATCAACTTCTTTAATTGCAAGGTTGATATTCCTCTGGAGAAAATTGATAAATTATTATTCATTTTTATTATTATATCTTTGGAGGTTTAAGAAAAATATTTACCAATGAGATATGAATTTGAAGTGGAAAATTAAAAAAAATTGATGTAAATTTATTGCTTCTTCAGTTTGTAAAAAAAAATTAATCAAGTGTTGCTGCCATCAAAAAAAGAATCAAATATTTAATTAAAAAAATTAATTCACTTTTTCACTTTTTTTAAATTAAATAATTTACAAAAAAGGATTTTGCTGTTTCACGAAATTAAAAGCGTTGTATAGATACCTTAATAATTAAAATAAAATTAAACATTAAACATTAAATATTAAAGATTAAACATTAAACTTCAACATTCAACATTAATATTTAATATTAAGTTGGTGAAAACAAAATTTTTATCTAAATGTAATTTTTTGGGAAGCATAAATTAAAAAAAACAAGGTGAATGTTATCAAAAATAATTTTTTCTTGTGCTGGCCGATTGTTGTCAAAATGATCTTCGTCTTCAGGAAGCAAATTTTTACTATTATTAATATATAAAAGAAGAAAAATTTTCTGTGTTATGGTGCCTTACTAAATGTTGTTATATTTTATGTAATATTTCCCCTTTTTTTACACAGTGAGTCTTGGTATAGTGGACCTCGGTATAGCGGATGTCTAATAAAATTCTTGGTTTAACGGATAAAAGCTCAGAACTATCTGTAAGTAAATTCTCTCAGTTTAACGGATTTACTAATTAAATCTTGAATTAATCTCGATACATATGTAAACTCGATAAGTCGGTCATGTGGGGGTGAGCTCATATGACTGACTTATCGAGTAAACTGACTTATTGAATTAAATTACTTAAATATTAAGAAAATGGGGTGAAAATTTTGGCCGACTTATCGAGTAAACCGACTTATCGAATGACCGACTTATCGAGTTTACATATGTACTATGACTAGATTATGTATCTACTAGGTAGATATAACTATGGCTATGATCCTGGTATGCGTGCGTTGGCACTCTTTCTTTTATTCGAAGTCATGTACATTGTTGTGGTTACTGGCTTTTGATTGGTTCCCAAATGTTTTCCTTGCCCCACAACGTGCTGATTGTGAGAGCTATGCCCGAACTGAATGCAAAGTATCCTGGTTTGGAAATCCGCAATGATACTATTTCGTAACCAAATGGCGCATTGATTGAATAGACTAATAAATTGCCACAAAAACGTATAAATAGAACCTCTATCCCCACTTTGGATCAAAAAATCGATTCGTGAAAAAAAAAATACATATCTCTTATACCACATCTCTTATATCGCTATAAACAAAGAATTTTCTAGGCGAACTGCCAACTTTTTTGATTGTGGGAGGTGAGGCATGAAATGCCGAATTGGCAATCCGTATTTTGGCTTTATATGTTGCATTCGAATTTGAGGATGAGGCACAAAGTGCCGAAATAGCAATCTGTATTTTGCCTTGCGCAACGTTTTCGATTGCCGGATTTGAAGCACATAGTGCAGAATGCCATCTATTTGGTAGGACGCAAAAGCAAAATTTTTCTTTCTTTTCCTATATATAATTCTACCTTTGCGTCCTACCAAAAGGTTGCTACTTGGTTAAATGGTTTTAAATGTGTAAATTATTATAATGATGAAAGAATTATCAAGGATATGCCTGTGGCATTAAAAAACTACATAATTCACAGAATATTTCTGATGAATTTCTTAAAGAGGTAAATTATTTTATTTTTTATTTTTTAGATATTATCAATTATTATTGTTGTAATTAAATATTTTATTTATTGTTTAGTACAAAAATTATATAAAGTTTCATGATGAAAATGATATAATTGTATTTATGGATTAACACAAGATCCAATTACAAAAGAATATATATTTGTAATGGAATATATGGAAAATGGAAATCTCCAAAATTATTTAACTAAAGATTTTAAAATTTAAAATGGGAAAACAAAATTGATATTCTTAAGATATTCATGAAAAAGAATTATTCATCATGATTTTCATAGTGGTAATATTTTTCAAAATTGTTGGGCTCCACGTATTGCAGATTTAGGACTATCATGCCCAGCTAGTCAAACATTATCATCAGACAAAAATGATATATGTGGAGTATTACCATATATTGCACCAGAAGTTTTAAAAAAGAAACCATATACAATGGCATCAGATGTATACAGT